AGACCCCGTTCGACATCCTAGTCTACATAGACGACATGGTCTTCGCTACTGCAGACAGAGACGCACTGGCCTCAGTGAAGGCTGAGTTGCGGAGGAGACACACCTGCACTGACCTAGGAGAGCTACGCTGCTACCTTGGCCTGCAGATCTCCATGGATAGAGCAGCGCGCACCATTACTCTCACACGGTCACACTTGGTACGCCAGGTCCTTCAGAGGTTCGGTCTTCAGTTCTCCTCCGCACACCCTACACCTCTGCCAGTAGATCATATGCTCTCGGCTCTAGTCCCTGACGAGTCAGTTGAGCCTAGTGGTCCGTACGCAGAGCTGGTGGGCTGTCTCATGTACCTGATAACTTGCACTCGTCCAGATCTGGCATACCCTCTTAGTATCATCGCTCGCTTTGTGGCGACAGGCAGACACCGACCCCAGCACTGGTTGGCCGCTAAGTGATTTTGAGTTATCTAGCATGTACATCGGGCATTGGGCTAGTGATGGGAGGACGCATGCCAGTGGTTCTCACAGGGCACACAGACGCTTTGTGGGCGGACGACACTGAGATGCTGAGGTCCTCCCAGGGCTACTGATTTAGCCTTGGTGCATGCGCCATCTCGCAGAGGTCCACTTGCTCGTCGTCCGTTGCTCAGTCTAGCTGTAAGGCTGAGATCTATGCTGGTGCCATGGCGGCACATGAGCTCCGCTGGTTGACGTTCCTACTTACTGACCTAGGTGAGCGGCCTAGCTCTGCCCCAGTCCTATACGCTGACAACAGGGCCATGATCCTCCTGTGTCACGAGCCTCGACTAGAGGGCAGAGCGAAGCATATCCTGCTGCGGTACTTCCTCATGCGTGAGCTATAGCACTGCCGTCTGGCCCGCGTAGTACACTTGCCCTCCGGTGCCAACACAACATATATATTTACTAAGGCTCTTGCGCTTAAACAACATCAACGACATTGTGTACAGCTTGGTCTAGTTCCAGTAGCTCCTCACTTGCTAGGACCTTGATTTTGTACTCTCCTTATATTATATTGACTAGCCTTGTGGCTTCAGTCCCAGTGGCTGGACTAGTAGTGCCGCCCTTGGTTACTCTTGTTTAGTTTGTACTGTTGCTGACTGGTCTTCAGACCCTTGCCTCAGAGGTTGGACTACTAGTGCCACCTTGAGTTGTGTATCTCTTGCTAGGCACTGCCCCTTGTCCAGCCTAGGGGGTGTGTCAGCTTAGACATTTGTAATGTATGTCTAGTTTTAGTCTAGACCAGTATGTGCTCTTAGAGAGTACAACCCACAAGTCATATAACACAGTGTATGCCTTTGCTTAGTCCACTTTTGCTACTTTGAGACACCCAACTCTAATACCATATCAGAACTCTGTCACTAACTACCGAGTTAAAAGGGCTTGTTTAGTAACGGATAAGTGCGCCCATAACCCCTTAGGCTTTGCACCTTTGCACCTGTGACCCTTCCCCGAGGACCAAGGGCAACCCCAGCGTGTATCTTGACAAGCCACACTTGACTGACGAGAGTGACGTTGCCCCCTTCGACCCCCACGAAATCACGACTTCGAACGCACTAGGTTTGAAGACACTGCCTTGTAATTTGGGCCCCTGGTTTTTGGGCCATTTCCAGTACAATATGTAGCTCGACCCAAGGTTGTTGAGGGTAAAATCTGTACGCATTAGCTTTTATGCTCGCATGTAACGATTGTAGCTGTCATTGGTTATCGAGTTGAGGTGACGGAGTGCACAAATTCACCCTTAGATTGTGAATCTTTTCCAACCTAAAGCAAAAGTGTTGACGTACGCACACATTTGAAGCAATGGTGTCATCAGTAGTACACCTATTTCACGCTATGGTCCTCAGACGAACAGTCCAAATTGCTATTCCTGCGTGAACTTTTAACCCCTAGGGTCTCAATTGCAATTCTCGCCTGCTCATGTCCCCTTGTCAGTCCCAACCACCAAGTACCTAGCTGAACCGCATGAACCCCCAAGTTCAGCCCGAAATGTTAAACAACTTGCCTGGGAATTACTATGCATTTTTGGGCTAATGTTCCGTTTGCCCGTGGCTTGAAATTCCTGCAAACACGCCCAATCCGCATGAAAAAACATGTCGCGTAGAACGGGTGTATAGGAATTGGTGGCTAGTGCAGCTTTAGGCGTGTCCCAATAGTAAACTATTTCATTTGGGATAGGTTCCGTTCGGCCCAGAGTAATAAACATGACGTCTATTATGGTTGGATAGGGTATACATCGAAATCGAGCTACTCGGGCATGGCCAATGGCCAATACACATAGCCCGCGGTATTTTCACACCAAGTATTTTCACAGGGGGTGCCGCCGAGAGGGTATTCACCCTCCGAAAGCAGCTCTTAAAGACCAGATCCGGATACTTTTGAAAAACAATTTGAACTTGGGTTTCTATACGAAACGTTTACTGTTCGATTTAGTGTTTCTCGAGTCAGGAAACCCAACGTCAGCTTAGGCAGTGCTCAAAGTTTTTGCCCGCGTGGATCCTGCCAAGCTTAGGCTGCACGAACAAGGGGGTACTGTATACACAACAGGTCTTATTTTTGGTTTTTAGTTATCCTAAAAAAATCAGGCTCTTTGAGTTTTTACCATTAATTTTCAGGGTCCAGCAGGAGGCAACCCATAATCATTAGGGTTCGTTTGCACAGTTCCCTTTTCAGTACCACGGCTAGAATCTACCAGGAGATGTATGGACAAGACGGAAAGGGCGTTAGAAACGTGCACGGGGCTGTGAGGGGAGAATACCAAAAATCCACCAAGTGAGTTGTCTCCCTTCTGTTTGTGACAACGAGGTATGAGTAACGTGCAGTGAGGAGAGAAGAACGAAAATCTACTAAGGGAGTTGTCTCCCCTCTATTGGTGACTACGAGGTGTGGGTAAGGTGCTGTGAGGGGAGAAGGACGGAAAAGTACTAAGGGATTTGTCTCCCCTCTATTGGTGATTACGAGGTGTGAGTAAGGTGTCGTAAGGGGAGAAGAATAAAATACCACTATGGGAGTTGTCTCCCCACTGTTGGTGACTACGAGGTGTGAGTAACGTGCTATGAGGGGAGAAGGACGAAAATTTTCGATGGGAGTTATCTCCACTCTATTCGTCAATTGGTGTGAGTACTTGCTGAGAGGGGAGAACAACGAGAATCTTCTAAGGGGTTGTTCCTCATAAGGAGATCCCCCCAGTTGCCCTACCAGCACTAATAGTACACTTAGGTAAGAAAAATATACCCTTAATATCTAGGTTACTTTACATAAACCCTTAATCCCTCGGGTTCATAAAAATCCGACCCTTAATTTGTGGGGCCAACTGAAAAACTGCCATTTATTTGACTCAAATTCAGGGCAATAACCCTTGAAAAATAGGCTCTTCTATGCAGTGAGAAATGGTCAGGGTGGAAACACAAATTCTTCTGCCGCCCATTTTCAGGGTGTGAAATTTCCGCGGGCTAGGTGTATAATTTGACCAATATTGTTGGCACACGGTCCTGCATTCCGCCAGGGTCTGCTCCCAGGGCGGCAGCGTGCAGATGTGCCGGAATGCAGGGCTATTTTGCTGGTCAGGAGCTGACAACCTCTCAGCAATAACTGGCACTAAGTTCGACTGCCGGAAAAGTCTCAGCAAGCAGGTCCAGACTGTATTTCATTCAGATAGCTGACCCCAGGGGAGGAATAGCGAGCACATAAATAAATGAAGTGGGTGTGAAACGAGATGCATTATAACATTTAGATAGACAGCCCGTCATCCAGCGCGAACTAGAAACCGTTCCCTTAGAGGTAGACCAGATACAGGTACGATTTCTGAGTAGCATCCACATCACGGTATCGTGAGGTAATTGCCAAAGGGTCACATGCGCCTGCAATCCGGTGCGAGCGGGTGCTCTTTCCTGGAGTCAGCGTCGTCCTCCCTCTTGTTGCAACGTCGACACAGGCATGCCACGTCGACTGCCCCCCTGATGCCGAAATGTTGGCAGTAGTTGTCAGTAGACAAACACCAGCTGTAACAAATCAAGAGTGAGCTGCTGGGCAGTTGGTTCCCTGAGAGCTGAATAAAGTTTCAGTGCATACGAGTGGTTTTGATAATGTACACCTCAAGCTAGCTATGTCATATACATCGATCAAACTTCCGTGATTTTCTGGGCTGCAAGAAAAACAGGTGAGGGCAAAATTACAAGGAAGTGCGTTCCGGCAAATGATTCGTCGTTGCACACGCACGGTTGCTGCAATGGGGAACTGCGAGTGAGCATTGGAAACAGACGAACCTGCATTTGTCGTGTAGTTATGGCGAACACATTTTCTCCTGCATTTTCTGCAGAATGTGGACACGACAGGGCCGCCGGGAATTCAAGACACAACACTGTACAGGTTGAGCCCAGAATCCGACCCAGGAATTTTTGGAGATTTGACGATTTATATGAGGTGCGGGTGTAGCACACTCCACAACGACATCAATAGAGATTTGGGAACTACCGCAACTCAGAATGCGGGTGTTTGAGTGATAGAAGACAAGGTACCGAGAACATTGCAATACCCAGTGGTGCTCGTTTCGAACAGTCAAAACAGAACGGGTAATCAAAAGTGTCAAATGACTTCGGCACGGTTTCGGGAAATTCCACTATGCTGCCCAGAAAAAAAGTCTTGAAAGTCGTATCTTCGAAGGACAATGGTGCAGGGACGATTCTTCCTGCAGAATCCCCACCGAGCCGATCTTATTGCGCGTGGGACGAGCCCAACACACCAACTCCGTTCTTCTCCACATCTCACAGATCAAACCTGCTCCTGCAATCGAAGCATGACCATCGCCATTGGTAACCAGCATGTCACATCACATGCGGCGATCAGATAACATAAAAACGTCCCTTCACAAAGGCGGTGGCGGATCTGGCAAAACCGAGGACCTGCCGCAGCCCATGCCAAGCCCTGCCTTGCCCTCTCTGGCAGGGCCGTCGCTCGGAGTGAATGCCAAAATTCACGCGCACTAGGAAATCCACCGCCCTGCCAGAGTCAGTCGAAACTGTGCCTGGTTGACGAAGCGAAACCCTCGTTTCCGAGGCTCCATGGGACCATGAGAACACGCGAAAAGCAGCCATTCCTTGCGCCGTGGGAGTGAGCCAGCAAGCTAAGGAGGGAAGGAACACTCGAGGAAGAAAGCTGAAGGGAGCTCAAAAACTGGCTACTAATTGTGTAAGAACGATATGTCACAACGCGAGATCTAAAGGAGCACACCGTTCGACGAAGCATAGTCGCTACCACGCGGATCAGACCCAGATTTGACAAATTTCCCTTATGTTTTGTTTTTAAATAATAGACGCCGGATGAAGTGACAGAGCGAGTCCGAGCGTCTCTTGCTCAAGATGCTGACGAGACATCCATGATGAAGCAGAGACATCATGTGAGAAGTCGGACTTTTCTCTGTCGGACCTGCTAGGTCCTCGCAGATCCAGATGCAATTGTGTAATCCGGGAGGGGGCAGTCCAGAATCGAGCTTTTTGGCATGAGTCTATGCCATGGAATCGTGGGCCACATAGGGGACTTCCATGCGGCGTAGTCTGCCGTATTCACTAAGACTGATAGGGACATACTAAGACTGATTCCGAGGCCTGGCGACATCAGCCGTCATGTCTGTTCATTCATCATGAGAATGCTTCCATCATGGCCATGGGATCTCCCCTCTCCATGACAAAAATGCTCATGATGGGATGATCTACCCCTCTAACCCTAGCTTCCCCCTCTCTCTGCCATCGCTCTGCCACTGGCAGGCCTCCTGATCTAATGCACACCCACGCCTTTCTCCAAGAAAAGCCTGAGAAGAAAATAAGAGTGGAGGTGAGGGTTGGAGGTGTGGGGGTGGGCCATCTAGACAAGGATTTCATGGTAGGGTGAGCACCAGAGGGCAGGAAGATGACCTGGGGAGATTGAGAGGGCTGGGGGAATGATGGGGTGACTTTAGAGCCGACTAAAAAATGGAAGTGCGGAGATGGGCCATCTAGACGAAAATGTCATGGTAGAGTGAGTACCAGAGGGCAAGAAAGATGAGCTCAGGGAATGATAGATAGAGGGGGTTGAGGGAATGATGGGGACGAGGGGTGAGTCAGAGAGTCGGAAATATGGGAGAGGAAAAAGGAGATGCTACAAAGATTGGAAGGAGAAGGTTGAGGTGAGAAATAGAAAGGGAAGCGGGAGAGAGTGATCTAGTAGCAGAAATTCTGTTGGCTCATGTCTGCTATTTATATAGCTGTTGTGAGTCACCTAAGGTCACGGCATCATAAAAAGCAGTGACCCCGCTTTGTGCTGCCGTTGCCCCTCCTCTGTCTGCTGTGGCCAGGAGATGCGACCCTCTGCCCCTGTGGACCTCAACGCCCCTGTTGACCTTCACGGATGGCAGGCACCTGACAAAGCACCTGAAGAATCACCTGGCGCGTCTGGTGCCATTTTACGCCTCCAAGATTCGGTACCTTCAGCCACGCTTCGCTCTGTTGGGCTGAGGATAGGAGAGGCAGGACGAGGGGGGAGAGCGAAAGGGATTGGAGGGGCAAGTGAGAGGACACTAGGAGAGGAGAGCGAGGAGGGAGAGGAGGGAGAGGAGGGAGGGGAAGGAGAGGAGGGAGAGGAGGGGACGGGGGGACAGGAGGCAGAGGAGGGAAGAGATGGAGGGGAGGTAGGACAGGTGAGTAGAGTGTTTGGGGGTACAGCAGAAATAGGAGGCATGGGAGCGTTCTTGAGAGGAGACAACAGAGATGCCATTGTGGGGCATGGTGTTGGTGTTGGTGCTGGTGCTGGTGCGGTGGAGGGGAGAATGAGCGGTGAAAGCCATGATGAGAGGCGTGAAAGGGACGAGAGAGGAAGCAGGAAGAATCCACTGAGGGTTGGCAGGGAGAGTGGTGGGGAAAACACAGAAGAGCACCAGCAGGGCAAGCAGGAGCAGCATGAGCAGCAGGAGAAATCGTCAGCGCTTCGGAGCCCCCGTTCCTTCCTTGCCTCCTTGTCCGCCTCAGCAGGGTTCCGTGCCAGCAAGGAGAGGAGCAAGGAGGGGAGTAGGGAGGGGAGCAGGGAGGGGAGTAGTGAGGGGAGCGGCAGGGATGGGGGCAGAGAAGTGGCGGGGCGGGAAGGGGAATGGAGGCATGCAGGACTGAGGCTAGCGCCTTCTGTTGGAGCAGGTGGATCTTCAGGTGCTTCTGGCGATGCTTCTGGGAGACAGCAACAGCAGAGGATGGAGGAGGGGCAAGAGGAGCGGCGCGAGGAAGAGGAGCAGAGGCAGCGGCAGCAGAGGGGGGAAGAGGAGCGGAGGCAGCGGCAGCAGAGGGGGGAAGAGGAGCAGAGGCAGCGGCAGCTGAGGGAGGGAGGAGGCGAGCAGTGGCAGGAGAAGGAGGAGCCGAGGGAGGTGCAGCCGAGGGAGGTGCAACCGTGGTGGCTGGGGGAGAGGCGTGGGCGGGTATGGGGGACAGGTAAGGAAGATATGGGTCTGGCGGCAGGGAGAGGAGAGGCCGGTCTTGGTGAGGGAATGGATGCGAAGGTGGGCTTTCGTGGGCGGGAGGAGCACGTTGGGAGGGGGGAGCATGTTGGGCGGGAGGGGCATGTTGGGCGGGAGCGAGAGCAAGTGCGGAAGAGACCACGGGTGGAGAGGTCAACGCCGCCGCAGTACGAGCAGCAACACGTGCGTGACTGGGAGGAGAGCGCAAAGCAGCAGCAGCAGCAGCAGCAGCAGCAGTTGAGCCTGGCGAGCTTGGGCATAGAAGAGCGGAGGGAACAGCAAATGAAGTGGCAGGAGCGGGGTACCCAGAGCCCCCTGAAAGCCAATGCTCAACACACGCCTAGTCACGTCCCACCCACTCCGTTATCCCCTATGGCGTGTGGCTTGCTATCCCCCATAAGACACAACCCGTTAGCACCCACAACTGACAGTGTTGTGGCTCCGATAACACATGGTCCCATAACGCATATTCCCATAAGCCATACTCCCATAAGCCATACTCCCATTAGCCATACTCCCATAACACATACTCACCTACCCACCCGTGTACAGTCCGTGAAAGGAGAGCCCGTGGACGGAGTTGGACAGCTTAGTAGCCTCTCACTCGCGTCTGAATCTCCTTTGCCACCGGCACAACCACCAGCAGCAGCAGAGGCAGACGCAGCAGCAGCACGTGTGGCCAGAAGCATACAGTTCCTTCATTCTTTGAGCCGCATTCCAGGCAGGCTAGATGCCACTGGGGCAGGGGGGGGGGCGGGGGCAGGGGAAGGGGCCGCGGCAGCAGCAGGACCAGGACCAGGCGCAGGGGCAGGGGCAGGGGTGGCGGCAGGGGCAGGGGCAGCGGCAGGGGCAGGGGTGGGTCCGGTGATTTCAGAGTTGACTCAGCGGGCAAAGCAGCAGTGTCAAGCCCCTAGCCCACTGGGGCAGAGCGGAGGCGCGAGCCCTCCTGCGGGGGGGGAAGGCGCGAGCCCCGTGGCGCAGAGTGAAGCCGCCCGCCCGCTGGCACAGAGTCAGGGCGCCAGCCCTCAGGCGCAGATGGACCTGATGCTCAACGCCAGCTGGCACAGGCGGCACAGCGGGGAGGCACGGGGGGACCCGGTGGAGTTCGAGTTCAGGATGGGGGCCCCGGGCGGTGACTCCGGGGAGGGCTCGTACGGGCAGAGAATGGCAGATGGCCAGATGCAGAGAACGGGAGACGGCCAGATGCAGAGAACGGGAGACGGCCAGATGCAGAGAACGGGAGACGGCCAGATGCAGAGAACGGGAGACGGCCAGATGCAGAGAACAGGAGACGGTGGTGAGGGGAGAACAGCAACAGCAGTCAACACCTTTGGCCTGGGTGATACTGCTGGGGTGGGTGGTAGAGGCTGGCTGGGCGAGGGAGCAACGGAGGTGCTTGATTGGAGGGATCCGTGGGGAGTGGGAGCGGGAAGGGGGAAAGATAAGGGGGAGGGGGAGAGGTCGGGGGGTGATGGGGGAACAGAAGTGAAGCTGGGGATTGATTTGGGGAAGGGGGGGCGGTGGGGGCTAGATGGGGATGAGGGGGGGAAGGGGGAGAGGTGGGGGCTTGATGTGGGTGAGGGGGCAAATCCTCTGCTTGCAAGCCACGTGGCACGTTTGAACAGTGTGGCAAGTAGGAGACGTGGCAAGCTGGTATTGGATGAGAGCCTCGCTCTGACTCTGGGTGGGAGTTTCTCGGAAGGACAGGGAAGCTTCCTGGAAGGGAAAGAGAGGTTAGTAGAAGGGGGGAAGAGCTCAGTCCCAGGAGACAGAGGCAGAGCGACTGAAACCGACGCTCTTGCTCCTGCTCCTGCTGCTGCTGCCACTGCTGCTTACAGTTTGGTTGCAAGCCCCCATACGTCTGCTGTAGCTTTTCCTGCTGCTGCTGCCTCCACTGCCTCGCCTGCTCCTGCTGCTGCTGCTGCTCTCGGTGCTCCTGCTGCTCCTGCAGGCGTTGTTGCATCAGCAGCAGCGGGAGGCTCGGACATACTCCCCACCTTGGAGCAGTTTCTGGGGCACTTAAGACGGAGTATGGGCGACGCACAGCTCCTGGAGCACCTCACACGCAGTGTGAATGCCAACCAAAGCAGCTTGAGTGCGCATCCCAGCTGCTTGAGTGCGCATCCCAGCAGCTTGAGTGCGCATCCCAGCAGCTTGAGTGCGCATCCCAGCAGCTTGAATGCGCATCCCAGCAGCTTGAATGCGCATCCCAGCAGCTTAAATGCAAGCCAGCAGCAGGATAGACCAGAGGCAGGATCAGCAGACAGGGTCCTTCACACCGCACTCCCACCCGCCTTTGTCCCACACTCCACTTTCCAAACCCCCCTCACTTCCTCATCCCCTTTATCAGCAGCCTCGTTAAGAGCTCCCCTCGAGCCATACCCCGCTCTGCCACTATCATCCTCTTCCTCAGCAGCCTCGGGAGCTGCAGCCTCCGGAGTTGCAGCCTCGGGAGCTGCCCTTGCTTTGCTAAGTGCCAGCTTGGCCCACCGAGCCTGTCTTGCCTCGCTCTTCCCACCACCACGCCCAGCACCAGCGCCAGCGCCAGCGCCAGCACCAGCGCCAGCACCAGCACCAGCGCCAGCACCGGCACCAGCACCAGCTCCAGCACCAGCGCCAGCTCTCCCACCCCCACCGTCCACTCTCCCCACCCTCCCAGCTTCCACGGCCTTTGCTGCCCCGGCTCCCTTCCCTCTCTTCTCTCGTCCCTTTTCAGCCCCCACTCAATCATTCCTCCCACAGCACCCCTTTTCTTTCGTCCCTTCGTCCCCTTCACACTCTTTGGGCCTTGCCTCACTCGGCAATCCTGCTGCTGCGGCTGCTGCTGCTGCTGCTGCGGGCGTTTCAGGTCGTGAGGTGGCTCCGACCCTTGGGCCCACTCTCAGCCTTGACAATCTTGGTTCTCCTGGTGCTAGTGGTGCTGTTGCTGCGTCTGCATATGCTGGTGGTGGTAAGAGCGACAGTACGTTCGCCCGTCCGCTGTTCCTCTCTGACGTTGGGCAGGCGCAAGGAGAGGGGAGCGTGAGAGGAGGAGCGGATCAGCTGGGTGGAGGTGCAGGAAGAGAAGGGGTGGGGGGGAGAGATACAAGGGTTGGAGAATCAGCCCTAAGGGGAGGAGTGGGAGGAGGAGGAGGAGGAGGAGGAGGAGGAGGAGGAGGAGGAGGAGGAGGAGGAGGAGGAGGAGGAGGAGGAGGAGGAGGAGGAGGAGGAGGAGGAGGAGGAGGAGGAGGAGGAGGGGAGGAGGAGGAGGAGGAGGAGGGAGGGGGGGGGGAGGAGGAGGAGGAGGAGGAGGAGGAGGAGGAGGAGGAGGAGGGGGAAGAGGAGGAGGAGGGGGGGGAGAGGGAGGAGGAGGAGGGGGAGGAGGGGGAGAGGGAGGGGTTGGAGCAGGTAGCTGCGGCAGTGGTGATGGTGGCGGGGGAAGCAGCAGTGGGGGCGGCAGCAGCGGCAGATGGAGGGAGGGGAAGGGAGGCGAGGATAGGAGGTGGGGCATGGAGGTGCGACTTGATGATGCCACGCTGCTGGCTCTGGGGCTGGGAGATATGATCCGGGTGGCACCGGTGGGGCTGGGAGATATGATCCGGGGGGCACCGGTGGGGCTGGGAGATATGATCCGGGTGGCACCGGTAGGGCTGGGAGATATGATCCGGTCGGCTGGACAGGCAGGAGCAGCGGCAACGGTGTCAGCATTGGGGCTTGTGTCAAATCAAGCATTGCAATCAGCAGCAGCAGCACCAGCAGCACCACCAGCAGGTGCAGGATCTTCAGCAGCAGCAGCAGCATCACGGGCACTGGCATCAGCAAGCGCTGCTGCCACTGCCAGTGCGACTGGGCGAAGCCACGGAAGGGCAGGAGTGAGGGGCAGAGGGGCAGGGCGAGTCAAAGGGGGGGCAGGAGGAACAACAGGGGGAGCAGCACGAGGAGCAAGGGAAGGACGAGCAGGGGCAGCAGGGGGACAGGTCGGAGTGGGAGCAGCAGCAGGAGGAGGAGAAGGAGGGGGTGAAGGTGCAGCAGGGGTGGGAGCGAGCGGGCAGGGGGGCGGCAGGAGGTGCAGCAGGACGGACGGCAAGGGGTGGGTATGCAAGCGGCTGGCACGCGAGGGCTTCCTGCTGTGCCAGCACCACATCGCCGTCGCCAGCCAGTCCTCCTCCGCACCTAAAGGGGGCGGGGGGAGGCGCAACAGACTCAAGCAAGGGAATCAACAGAAGACCAGCCTGCTTGGGGCGGATGCTGCTGCTGCTGCTGGTTCTGCTGCTGCCGGGTCTGGTGTTGGCGGTGCTGCTGGTGGTGGTGGTGGTAGTATGGCTGGAGAAATGGACGGAGCTACTTCCCCCACTGTAAGATCGGTGCAACACAGTGCTTCCGCTTGTAACAGCGGGGAATATAACAGCAGCCCCTGCAATGGCGCGGTTCCCTCTGAGAGAGGCGAGGGCGGCCGTGTGATAAGAAACATCAACAACATCAGCATCAACATCAACATGAACCTGAGCAGCCAGTTTGAGGAGCAACAGCACAAGTAGCGCACACATGGAGAAGTAGCCAATAGCAGCGAGGGCGAAAATGTGATCAGGAATTTTTTAAACATCAACATCAACATGAACCTCAGCAGCCAGTCTGAGGAGCAGCGGCGCAAGTAGTGCACTGGGATTCCCCAGTCTGGGAAGCTTCGATTCGACTTGAAATTCACCCTGTTTGATGAGCGGCACATGTAACGCACTGGGAGAGTGACGTAAATATTAGATAAGAGAAGTTGCTTCGGTGCCGCTTTGGAAGAAAGGAGCTGAAGCAGGCTGAAATTGTGGTTGTTAACATATTATCAAAGTTAGAAACTAGAATGAGGCAAACAGGTTGGTTTTGTCCAAGGGGTTGTACCCTCTAAGAGTATGCACCTATCTAGCCTATAAGACATACACATTATATGTTTGTCACACCCCCTAGGCTAGATGATAGGCAGTGCATGACAAGAGACACACAGCTCATGTTGGCACTACTAGTCCAACCTCTGAGCCAGGGGTCTGAAGACCAGTCAGCAAGCTTATAAACTAAACAAGAGCAACCCAGGGCGGTACTACTAGTCCAGCCACTAGGACAAGAGCCACAAGGCCAGTCAAGATAATATAAGAAGAGGTACACAATCAAGATACTAGCAAGTAAGAAGCTACAGGAACTAGACGAAGCTGTACACAGTGCTGCTGATGAAATTAAGGCGCAAACACCTTCGTAAAGATATCAGCTGTGTTGGTTGGCACCTGAGGCCAACTGTACTACACAGGCATGGCAGCGCTGCTGTAGCTCGCACAGGAGGAAGTACCGCAGCTGGATGTGCTTCGCTCTGCCGTCAAGTCGAGGCTCCTGACACAGGAGGATAATGGCCCTGTTGTCAGCGTACAGGACCAGGGCAGAGCTAGGCCGCTCACCTAAGTCTGTTAGCAAGAAAGTCAGCCAGCGGAGCTCCTGTGCCACCATGGCACCTGCGTAGATCTCAGCCTCATAGCTAGACTGATCAACAGACGACGAGCAGGTGGACCTCCACGAGATGGCGCCGTCACCAAGGCTAACGTAGTAGCCCTAGTAGGACCTGAGCGTCTCAGCGTCGTTCGCCCACGAAGCATCTGTGTGCCATGTAAGGACCACTGGCCTACGTCCTCCTAGCACTAGCCCCATGCCCGATGTACTTGCTAGATAACGCAAAATCCTCTTAGCGGCCAACCAGTGCTGTGGTTGGTGTCTGCATGTGGCCACAAAGCGAGTTAGGATGCTGAGAGTGTATGCGAGATCTGGACGAGTGCAACTCATCAGGTAAATGAGGCAACCCACGAGCTCTGCGTAAGGACCACTAGGCTCTATAGACTCCTCAGGGACTGGAGCTGAGAGCCTGTGATCTCCTAGCAGAGGTGTGGGCTGTGCAGAGGAGAACAAAAGATAGAACCTCTGAAGGACCTGGCGCACCAAGCGTGACTATGTAAGAGTGATGGTGCACGCTGCTCTGTCCCCTAGAGATCTGCAGGCCAAGGTAGCGGCGCAGATCTCCTACGTCAGTGCAGGTGTGTCTCCTCAGCAGCTCAGCCTTTACAACGGGCTGTGCGTCTCTGCTTGAAATAGCAAAGACCAGGTCGTCCAGGTAGACAAGGATGTAGAGCGGGGTTTGGCTAGCACGAACGAAGAGCGAGGGGTCTGCAGAGGACAGGAATAACTGCATGTCAGCTAACGTAGCACGCAGCATGTCGTACCACTCATGGGGCGCCTGCCGAAGGCCGTAAACCGGGCGTCGGAGAACCACTGGGTCCCGAGGGTGCCGGTGAAGCCTGACGAGCGACGTAGGTAGACCTGCTCGTGCAGACTGCCCTGAAGAAACGCTGTAGAAATGTCGAGAGAGTGCAGTTGGTAGTCACACTGGGCTGTTACGTGTAGCAGTGCCCGAAGAGTAGTCACCTTCAAGGTCGAGGCGAAGGTCTGAAAGAAGTCAACACCCTCGCGCTGACTGAAGCATCTAGCAACATAGCACGCCTTGAACGCTGGCAGCTCTCCAGGAGGGCGCTTCACCTTGAAGAGCCACCGGCCATCCACTATGTTCACCCCAGGCGGGGGAACTGCGTCGACATAGGTGCCGGTGGATCTCCAAGATGCAATCTCTGCGTCTATGGCAGCTATCCACTGAGAGGCCCAGGGTCCCGAGGTCGCCTCAATGTAGGTGCGAGGGGTCGGGATGTCGAAGGCGTCTGGGTCCCCCTCAGGGACTAGCAGCATCGAGCCGAGATGAGGAGCGGCCTCAGACAAGAAAGCAAGCTGCTACTGCCGGTCCTCCAGGACGTCACTGCCAAGGGCAGGGGCACCCCCGACGGACGGAGGACGGACAGGGTCAGAGACTAGAGCAGTGGCGTAGTCAAGGCGGTGAGTAGATGTGAAGTCAGCGACGGCAGCGACAAGCGCGTCAAGACTCGAGACAGGAACAGACTGGTCGATAACGAGGGAGGCAAGAACTCGAGGAACAAGAGGACTAGCGGCACGAAGGTAGTCAGACAGAGGAGGCAGGGCGGCAACAAGCGACGACAGAGCAGGCGACGGGAGGAGGGGAGGACGAGACACGTGGGAACGAAGCAACATATTGTGAAGCGCTGAACAGGGGAGACAAGATGAGCACGAGAGGGACGGCGTGACTAGAAGTGGGTCAGAGGCGTCGTGTTAGGAGACACAGGAGGAGTCACAGGAGGAGTTACAGGAGGAGTCACAGGAGGAGAACGAGGAGGGAAACGAGTCGGAAATGAGTCTGGCAGAGGAAAGACAGGAACAGAGAAAGGCAGGGGAGGCGGTGGTGGGGGAGGCGCAGGCGGGTGGTCAGGGGAGGGAAGAACGAGGAGGCGAAGAGCGGACACCAGCGACAATTGTGGCTGCTGCTGCTGCTGCTCCACGCCGACACCCGAGCCCCCAGCTGCACCACGGCTACCTCCGGGACACTCCACTCCAGCCCTCCCTGAGTGAGAACCCTCTCCAGCACCAGTGCCACCTCCGAGACTACCGGAATGAGCCACGATAGTAACCTTAGGACTAGAACCCTCCCCAATGCCCGCACCCCTAGAACTCACGGTCCACTGCGGCGTCTACGGCTGCGGCTGCGGCAGCGATGGCGGCGACTGTTGCTACTGTGACGGCGACATCGGCGGAGGAGGTGACACCCGGGCGGAGATAGGCGGCGAACTCGAAGCCGCGGGGACCCCTGAGTCCGTTGACTTCTCAACCAGAACAAGCGACGGTAGGGGAGTGACGTGAGACACACCGGACGGGGCAGGACGGTGAGGAAGAGGAGTAGGGGCAATTAGGGGGGTGGGGACTAGGAACAGGGGCGGGGCAACCAGGAGACCTCGGTGGGGAAAGCGGGTGTAGAAAGAGACAGACTAGTCAAAAGTGACGTACGCGAGAGAAAGAAACGGTGAGACGGCCGGTGGTAAATTTGCTAGTCAGACGCGTCGAGGGGGAAACCAAGGAAGACACAAGGGACAGTGCGGGCAGTGAGCTTGTCTGTGCCAGAGGCAGCCCCAGACGTGGAATGCAGACGTGTTAGGAGGGGACCCGGTCTAGAGGAGGGTCGGCAAAACTTGCGGCCGCTGGGAGTGTGGCCACAGGTTAAGCTGGTGAGCGGCGTAGCGAACAGCGAACGACCACAAAAAATGGGGTGCAACGGAATGAATCATGGAGGTACGAGCAACCTCCATGACCAAACCGATGCGTCGCTCAGTGACCCCATTCTGCTGCAGGGAGTCCGGTAGGGTGTACGACTAGGTGATGCCCTCCGCACGACTGAAATGGCCAAGCCGACCGGAGGCGAACTCGCCACCACGGTCGTAGTGGAGACGCAACATAGGGAGGTCGCGGCGAACTCGCCACCACGGTCGTAGTGGAGACGCAACATAGGGAGGTCGATGCGGCCCAGGTATGGGGGCTGGGCCCCAAATGTCCAGGTGCAGGGTCTAGAGTGGCGCAGCGGTACGAGGAAGCGAGGAAGAGTGAGTAGCACGGCGCAAGCGGCCCTCGACGCAAGGCATGCACAGCGGCGTAGGGTAGGGAGGAAGGGCAGGGACCGACACGGGAAGACCGAAGACAAGGCCGTGATGTGACATGTGACGCAGACGCAGGAGGGCGAGGTGACTTAGGCGGTGGTTCCACAGAAGTGACGGGTGAGTAAGCGATCGACACAAGCAAGCCGCAACAACCTGGGTCGATGCAGACACCTCAGGGGACGCCCACACCGGGGGGGGTGCGGTGTCAAGCGTAAACAAGCCAGCCACCGGGTCCCAGGGGAACGTGATGAGGGGGGCACCTGTGGCGGCCTCGGTACAGACCACGTACCGCTCGTGTCCGGAGAACGTAGTGGTGACGCCGAGGTCCTGAAGACAGCCGACACCGACTAGGTTCCTGGAGAACGAGGGGATGTGCAGACCTTTACGAGAGCTCGAGGGGACAGCCAGACAGAGAAGGTTGGTGGAGCTACGGGCAACTACCAGACCGGAGGAGGGATAAGCAAGTGCGACAGCGGCAGGGGCGGGAAGCGGTGTGAGCGCAGTGTGGTCGCAGAAGAAACAGGCAGACGCTCTAGTGTCGAGCGTGAAAGAAAGAGACGCAGTAGCGCCTGCCAACGAAGGGGGGGCTAGTGTGCAGCCAAGGCTAAACAAGGCAGAGGATCCTATGCCTGGCGCAGCAGGGACGTCTAGACTACACACAGGGGACACACATAAGCTAGGCAACACCGGGTAATAGGGTCCTATCACACCAGAGTCATCAGCATACATGACAGACATAGCAGCCCTAATCCGATCCATGTCAAGCTCAAAGATAGGCACACGGCGGCGCGCCAGGGTGTACTAGTCAGGAGGGTCCGACGTGGGACCAAAGCGGTGACGGAAGAGGTTGTCCAGGCGGCGGTAGCAGTGGTCGGCGGTGTTGCCGGAACGGGAGCAGGCGGTGCTGCGGTTGGGGCTGGTCTGAAGCTGGTACGGACAGGTGACCGCACTAGAGCTGCCACCCGACATCGAGCTGCGCCCCCACCACCACGACCACCCCCACCAGCACCGCCAGTCCACCACGGCGGCGGGGGTCCCCACGGTGACCGTTGCTGCTGCGGCGCCTGCTGCTGCTGCTGCTATTGCTGCTGAGTCGGTTGCTGCTGCTGCTGCTGCTGAGTCGGCTGCTACTGCTGCTGCTGAGGCTGCGGCTGCTGCTGCTGTGGGGCACCAGCCACGGTCCCCTCGTCAAAACCACCGTCCCTGCCCCTACCTCCTCCACCCTCACCACCCCCACCACCCTTCCCTCCGCCATGCCCCACCTTGGTGTGGCGGCCCCTACCCGGACGTGGTTGCGCTCAGGCCGCAACGACGGTCTTTGCAACATCGGCAGAGACGT